CTGCTACTGCTACTGCTACTGCCGCTGCTGCTTCTAGGGTTATCGGTCCCTACACAGAACCTACACCATTGCTGAAGCGCGACTTACTAGCACGCCGCGAGACTTTTATTGGACGATCGACAATGTTCCTAGCCTTTCGACTGTTCGGAGTGCTGGTAATTCTGGCGCTAGTAGTGTTTCTGATGCCGCTGTTGTTGCTGCTGTTCTGTTTTCGTCGGCTGGGCTGTCGATGTCGCTGACATCGTCACTGTCATTGCTGCTTGCTGCCGCCGAAGTCTCCGTCTTCAGTGCCGCTGGTGTTACAGTTGATGCTGCTGCCGTTGCCGTTGCTGTCATCGCTACTGTCGTGGCGCTTCTGGGCCGAGCGACAGCATGGCAAACGGCAGCGCCGCCGATGCCAACTGTCGGGCAGTGAGGACCTTCCGGCAACTTCACGGCTCACGGCTTGACGGCTTGCTTTTCGGGTCTACTATACATCATTCTTGGTATAGGCTTCGTCCCTTGACAAAGCTTAAGGAAGTATGGGCTTGCATCGGTGCGGGTGAGCTTGTGTGGTTTTCAGGCTCGAAATCACGGGCCGCAGAGACCGGCAGAAGCATTTTTGGCTGCACGCCTAGAAGGTTTTGACGAGTTCAGGAGGTTTTGGAGCCCCGGTTTAAGGTCTCAAGCATCTCATCATCTCAGCCAGGGGTCAATCATTAGCAATGCCGCTACGTCGGTGCTACCAGCACCCCGGGTGCTGATGGAGAATGTGTAGCTGAGCCATGTGGGAAGTGATTCGCATGAATTGTTTGCAACCTCCTCCGTCAATGAACATCACCGAATTGATCGCTTGCCCGGGTGCACCTTGCTTTTTCGTTCATGCGACGACGTTCCCAGAACGCCAATAGAATATGCGTGGACTTTGGCATTAGGGATCAGGGCTTGGGGTGGAAGAGGTTGTCCAAGCTTTGACCTGCAGGATATCCAAGCTACAAGATTGAGAACTGAGGTCCTTCATGACTGTATGGCGGCCTGACAAGCTAGATCCCCAAGACAAAATGCAAGACAGCCGTGCTCCATGTCAGACAGGTCCTAGACCCGACAATCCCAGAGTCCTGCTCCCAAATTTTCTGCTGTGTCCAACCCGGAAGCCAAATCACGGCAATGCCCTGAAGAGTTCCTGAGAACACTGAACAACCAAGGCCTATAGTGACCAATATAAAACCGCAAAAACCGTCTTCCCTCCTGGCTCATCCCCATGTCATACCTGAAGGACGGCGCCCAGGGAGCTCTGCACCAGAGGCTTGCCAGCTGTGAACCATTCGTTCGTGACGCTGAGCCAGGTCTGCGCGGGAGTTACTACTGATAGCACCACCACTTCCACCACTACTACTGCTACTGCTGCTGTTGATGCTACTGCTGCTACGACGACGACGACGACGACGACTACTACTACTACTACTGCTATCACCACTATCACTACCACGACTTCTACCACTACTACAACTACTGCACTACTACGACTACTACGACTAATAGCACTACTACCACCCCTACGACTTCTAGTCGTAGTCCTTCTGTTACTCCTGCTCCTACTCTTGCTCCTGCTCCTGCTCCTGCTCCTGCTCCTGCTCCTGCTCCTGCTCCTGCTCCTGCTCCTGCTCCTGCTCCTGCTCCTGCTCCTGCTCCTACTGCTGCTGCTGCTGCATTGGCTGTAGCTGCTACTGAGAGCAGCATGGAATCAACCTAGACCCCGAAATCCAGGGGTATCGTAAATCACTTGTACCAGGAAGCTCGAAACCTTAAGCTACGAACTCCAGAGCACTGCTCGGCAGACAGAGCACCTTATCTCCTGGAGCTTGCTGGAATCCGGATTTAGGGGGCTAGGATATAGATTTGCCAGGGTTGACAACCCGAGTGCAACATGCAGCCATCTACACATCCAACATCACTGAGAAAGAACCTGCTGAAAAACGTGGGCAACCTAGACTTGCCCGTACAACCAAAGTTGTAAGCCGTGCGGCCAACCCTAAAAAAGTGAAGCTGTTCCCAGACCTGCGGCCATGCCAGCAGCCCCAGCGCGGCGCCACCCAAGACAAGTGAGTAGAACCTTTGTTATCGTGGTAACATGGAATATCGAAAATATTGTTATCGTGGTGACATGGAATATTGAAAGATTCGGAATGCAATTGTACGAGCTTCCCCTCGCACAGGGTCGTAGCCCAAACATTGCTGGATCATCCAAATCTTGCAATACCACGGTCATTAGCAAGAGTACTTGTAGCTGCGAGAGAGCGGCAAGTGCAGGAGTAGAATTGAGTAGAAGCCGTTACGGGAAAACCAACAGGAAAACCAAACGTCCACGAAAGATCTTGTTGAATATGTTGAATCAGGGGATCGAAATAGAAAGCAATTCCTTCTCATGCTGCTCAAACTGCGCAAACCCCGCACTCTTCGCCCACACAAAGTTCGACTTCACCCTCGGATCTCAACCTTTCGGCCCTGGCACAGGAGAAGCAAACGGGAGGGCATCGAGGCGGCCCTCGACAAGGAGCCCTGGAAGCTCGCTTTTCTTTTCGTCTTCTCCGTGCTCTTTTTCTGTTGCCGGCCATGGATCAGGGACTTCGCGATCAAGTTTTCCGGATGATGGAACATGCGAACTTACAGGTTCGGCTCATGGGCTTCACCGTCGGTGCGTAAGGTTCGGGACTTCGGCTTTGAGTCTACGTGCTTAGTGAAGCTCGTGTGAGAAGGACTTGACGAACCCCAACATAAAGCCCCCACGCCCAGCTCCCAAAACCCGCCCAGACTCTGAAGGAACACTGTGCCGGGCCTTGTTCGTGCCGTCGGTAACCATGGCACCGAGGAAAGGAAGCCTTGGCAGTTGCCCTGAGGTTGAAGATTAGAAGGGCTTCGAGCTTCGTCTTTGGGGCAATATTTCAGGTTAGGCCTGGTGATGGATTTCTTCGTGCTGAGGGAGTTGTGGGGGGCCCACGGCACCAACTCTCGAACTCCAACCGACCCGACCTGAACTCGCAGCCTCGTACCCAGCATCTGCTCGACCCCTACGGCACATCACTGTCATCAACATTCTCTTCAGTTCGGTTGGGAACCACAGACAAGAAGCGCAGTGGTGACGGTGTTCGAGACGATGCCGATCTTCAGCCCGTCTCCTTTCAAGCGGGGTTCGTCTGTTTGGTCCACCTGCACCCACCCTGCCCGCCCTGGGTTAAAACCCTGCTACGGGTTAAAGTCGGTTAAAGACTTTCAAAGCCCCTTCGCCGTCCATCAAACACTCATGGCATAATCACCTCCATATAAAAACATCCCTCGAAGAATCTGAGGCCGAGGGGCGGTGTCCCTGCGGCATTGCGCTGGAGCCCTCGAGAACGGTGGAGGCCACGCCAAACGCAGCCTCTACTGAATGCTCGAAGAGGCTTCCAATGGGTCGCTCTTCAAGTTGATATGTGCTGAGGCATTCCATGACGAGGAGCGTTTGAAGCGCATTGTAAGTGCGATTGCCTATATCACAAGTTTGGCCTGGCGGCAGACGGCAGGGTACAATTTGCAACATTCTCTGCTGTCGAAGTCCGCTGCCGCTTTGAAGCCTGGATCTCCAGAAACCCAACCACCAAGCTGAACCTCTTCGCGGATTCGGCATAGCATGAACATACCACACCACACACGAGAATGCCTCTGTGGAAGTGGCCAGCGCCAGCATACTCACCACGCCGAATACAAGCCTGGGCTTCAGGAACTCTGCGAGAAGCGGCTCTTCACATCCTGGCACCGTCTACGTTCACCGATGACTTATCACAAAATATTGGCGACTAATCGAACCCTGTTGTTTCACGGCTGGAGATTTGTTGACGCTGAGGACGAAAGGTTTTGCTTCAGTTTCTCTTCACGCTCAGGTTAATATGCGGCTGGGCCTGCTGCAATGAAAACCACCACCAGTGGTAGCAGCAGCAGCAGCAGCAGCAGCAGCAGCAGCAGCAGCAGCAGCAGCACGAGTACCCCTGCTACCACTACTGGCACACCTGCTGCTGCTGCTGCTACTGC